GATAGGAGGGCCAGTAGCCAGAAGTTTCAGGTGCCAGATAAAAGACATGAAGCACGGCTATTTCAGAGGTGCTGAGCTCTCCCAGGTCCAGATTCTGTGCATCAGGTTTCAGGCAGCAGAGGGCAGCAGCTCACAGACATTCCAGCCCTTCCCCAGCTCTGGCTTGTTGGTATCCCTGTAGGCTGGGATGAGGGAGGGAGCAATGCTGGACATCAGCACAAGACACTGTTTTGGACTCTCCAGCAGACCTCACACCTGGCTACTAGGATCCAGCCCTCAGTGATGAGGTTAGTCTTTCATTGTCATTTTCATCTCTGTGGGCACATTTACACATTGTCCTACAGTGACAATAGTGACACACTACATTGCTGTATGACATGCTACGGCAACATAGTGATCATATAAGTCTACATGCAATTGGCACCTATGCTGCCATAGCAGCGTATTCCCCCAGTACAGCACACCGCTATGACAACATAGCGCTGAAATCTAACCGTGCACACAGCTCAGTAAAACGCCCGTACTGCACTTACGTAGTACTTTCAAAAGGAAGTACTAAAGCACGGCACCATAGCAATGTTGCCATACAGCCACGTGTAAACACGTGTTTGGTTTTTTGCTCTAGATGCTCCCTAGAGTTGCAAGGCATTAACCCTAGTGTAGTAAGGGGAAAGCAGAAGCTCAACTATTTCCCTAACACTACACAGGAGTCAACAGCAGAGCAGGGAACAGAACTCACACTGCATTATATGCGCAAGGATTTGAAATCTTATAAGCAGGGATCCAGGGTTTCCGTTTGCCACAGAAAAACACAGTAAAACCTGGTTTTCTCATTTCAAGGAGAAAAACCCAGATTTTCTCCTTTAAAGGAGAAAAATGCAGGAAACAGTGGGTTTCCCCTTGCAGGCTGGCAGAGTTCCAGCCAGCAAGGCACTGGATGGAGTGGGAGGAAGGCGGTCAGACGGCAGGAGGGGGAATGCCATGTGCATTTGCACACACACACTACACATGGCTCCCAGAAAGCCTGGAGAGCAGCTCCCTGCAGTTAAGTCTGGCAGGGGCGGGGGGGATTGAGGCCCCCATAGTGAGGGAGGGAACTGGGCAGGGCTGGGGCTGCTGCTTAGCCAGGGTGGTGCATGGTGCTTGGGGCCATAATGCATGGCCACAGGGCCCAGGCAGGGAACAGAATGGAGCCATGGGTGGCTTGTCCAGGGGGCAGGAGGGGAAGGACATAGGGGAGCACATGCCCCCCAGATCTGTGCATAGGGCAGGGACAGGCTGCCCACTGCGGGCTTGGGGCTCCCTGCCCTGCTGCCCTCTTGCAGGGCCTCTGCAACCCAGTATGGCAGGACCCAGTGTGGCAGGACAGAGTGAAGTGGGGAAGCGATGCTGCTGCTGCAAGCTCCACATTGCCATGGCAAGGCATCAGCATTCTGCTGATGGCTGTTTCCCAGATCTTACTGCTGCACCTCCAGAAATGTAATATCTTTCATCCAATGCACCAAATGCCCTGATGGAAAATACATAGGAGAGACCAAACAACAACTGCACACCAGAATGAATGCACACCAGAAATCTATCAAAGACAGGGATACCCAGTTACCTGTGGGGGCACATTTCTCACAAGAAAACCACTCTCTCCCCAATCTCTCATTCCTGATCCTCAAAGGAAACTTACAAAACACTTCCAAGAGACAAGCCTACGAACTCCACTTCATCAACCTCCTGGATACTAAAAATCATGGACTAAATATAGACATCGGATTTATGACACATTATAACCTGCCTAACGTCTGACTCCCCAGGTACTTCTCCACTATTCATCCCCCTTCTCTCCCTCCCACCCTGTCTCACCCATTGACTCCTCAATCTACATCTTCACTAACTGCTTATCTTCTATGCATACCAGCCCAGCCTCTGGCTTTTTTA